TGGATTAGTAAATAGGAAAAATCGTTCTTAACTAGATCCAGTATTGGCTAATATGTTGCAAATCATTTTTAACTACACCAAGTATAGAAATGTGTTCTAAACTACACATACTATTATATAAGAGAAATTTCAAAAAATGCAATTTTTAAAAAAATACCACATTTTCAAAATTTTGGCAAAAATGACACTTTTTAAATTAAAAAAAAAATTCATTATGTTATTTATATTTGGGATAACTATGTTGTATTAAGGTTTAGTTTTGAGGGTTTTAAGGGTTTTAAGGGTCAAAAACATATTTTAGCGTTTATAATTTTAAGGTTTAGGCTTTAAAAATCCATAATTAGTGGCATTTTTGCAAATGGACACCTCTAAGTGACATTCTTCTAAATGTACACAACAAAAGTGGCATTTTTGCAATTGCTCCATTATATAATACATGGTGATATACACCAATTATAAGTAAATATGTTAAAAACTACAAGTTGGTGTTTTTTATATATATTTATCAAGGGGCAATTACAAAAATACCACTTTTTGTGTGCACATTTGCAAGAATGCCACTTAGGGGTGTCTATTTACAAAAATGCCACTAATTATAGATTTATAAAACCTATATCTTAAAATACTAAACCCTAAAAAATGTTTTGACACCTAAAATCCCCTAAACACTCAAAACTAAACCCTAATAGAACATAATTAACCCAAACATAAATAATATAAAGAAAAAATAATTTTGAAAAAGTGGCATTTTTGTAAAAATTTCAAAAGTGTGGCATTTTTGTAAAGTGACACTTGAAAAGTGGCATTTTTTTTAAATTTCTCATTTATCAATTTGGAGATTAGTTTGTAATTATTTTCATAAAAATATAAAATATCTAAAAAAACGTAAAACTTACAAAATTTAACAAATTGAAAGAAAAAACCATCAATTTCATAAATATAGGGAAAATAATAATAATTAAATTTGTAAAATTCCAAAGTTTCTAAAATTACAAAATTCAAAAACAAAAAAATAATTCCAAAACATTAAATTTATGAAAATACATAATGTGAAGGTTGATATAGATAGAGAAATTTCAAAAAATGCCACATTTTCAAAAAATTTGCAAAAATGCCACTTTTTCAAAATTAGTTTTCATTATATAATTTATGTTTGGGTTAACTATATTGTATTAGGGTTTAGTTTTGAGTGTTTAGGGGTTTTTAGGGGTCAAAACATTTTTTAGGGTTTAGAATTTTAAGATATATGCTTTATAAATCTATAATTAGTGGTATTTTTTTGCAAATGGACACCCCTAAGTGGCATTCTTGCAAATGTGCACACAAAAAGTGGCATTTTTGCAAATGCCCTATATAAATATTTCATTATATTTTCAAATTTAATTTCGGAAACAAAATTAATTTCTTAAATTACCAAAATTTATAATAATAAAAAATTTAAAAAAAAGAGAAATTTCAAAAAATGCCACTTTTCAAGTGCCACTTTACAAAAATGCCACACTTTTGAAATCTTTACAAAAATGTCACTTTTTCAAAA